GATCTTTTGCTGCAATCAAAATTAGTATAATGGTTGATGATACACATATGGCACATGAAAAGTTCATCATTTTTGTCTCTGTGATTATTTCAAAATTTGTTTAAAAAATTAATGAAACTTTAAAAAAAAGTCACTAATAATTGCAGGTCATCAGTATGCTTTCATTCCTTACGTGACGGAGTAATCCTTGGACAGGAAAGTGCTATTTCGATACTTTCAGCAACGTTAAATGGTGGAAACACATTATCACGTCTTTATCAAGTATTCAAAGTAGCTAATATCGAGGTAAAGTTGTAGAAGAAACGATTTCACCAATATTTTTGATTAATTAAAATTCTCTTGAAGTTATTATTTATGCATTGAGTGGGACGAGTTTCCTGTTTTTTTTTCCATTAAAGTTTTCGAACTATTAAAATTTCACAAAATACTGATATTTTAGCCGTGCATTCAACCAATTCGTACATTATCATCTGGTTTAATAATATCACGTTCGGCATTATTTTGGACTGGCTTCTCACTCGTTGGCATCCTAATATTATTATCATTTTGCATCTACGCTTGTTTTATCATCCGATACAAAAATTATTTGAATATGAAGAAAGCATCATTGGGTTAATTTTTCGTATGACTTTTAAATTCAGCATGAAAATTGTCGTGTTTATGCTAAAATTAAAATCCTAATTTGAGATAACGATTAGTATTCTGGCGAATAAGCCATGACTTTTATCAATCATTACATCTATTTGCTGATGAAAAAGTAAAGTTTTTTTAGAAGTTTAACAAACACGAATTTTAATATTACGCTAATTCTATTCCTGCAGAGTACAGCTGGGAAAAAGAAATAAATTAGCGGGTCGAGTTACTGTCAATTTTGTTTTCTCCATTTGTTTTTCAACAAATGGAGAAAACAAAAAAAAAAAAAAACAAAAAAAACCAATGTGTTGTTTACAGTATTAGCATTACATCACTCTGACATATTTATGTGGTTATTTATTACACTCTTCACTGATATAAAACATATTTGCAATGAAAATATGCTGAGATTAATGATGAGTTAGTAATGATAACACTATTTAGCAGATGAGACATCGTCATCCACCGTATCGATCAAACAAACACCTTCCGTACAATTTTACAGCATCAATAATCTGTAAGATATAATTTCTAATTTAAATTTTCGGTTATTCCATTTTTTTCTTACTTTTGAAAGTTAAACATTGCTCATTAATTCTATTGTATTTCCATAAGTGTGAGCATTTAAATGTGAATATTTGCAGGCCGGCAGTGAATTACTGAAAAAGTTTTAACGCAAATTATGATAATAGTGATAATATTTGAAGAATTGTTCACTTTTTATCTGAATAAATAATAAAGGATCTTTTAATCCAATTTGTGCTTCAGTTTCTATAGTGCAAGAGATTACCTGTGGAAATAAGAAGTTACTAACAGCAAAACTTTAGTCGTTTGTAATTTTCTTGCAGCAATGTAAATGCTGTTTAGTTAATTGTAACATTATGCTTGATGGTTTATCTTAATCGTTATTTTTGTTTCTCGAATTTCTAAAATAAACAGTAGGGAAGAATAAAATATTAGGGTATTAAATGCGTTGAATTACAATTTCTGTATTACAAACAAGAGTAATAAATTTGATATATACTTTTCAAATTTAAATTTATCAGTGGGAAAAAGCAAGAAAAACTGTTTTAAAAGGTTATAGTAATATTATGATAAGATTTTTTTCATTTTTCATTCAATATGGATATGAATTTTTCTTTCCCTTATTAAAGAAATTCCTACCTGAAAATGTCAGCCTAAATTCGGAGGTGGAAACAAATGGACTGCAAATGGATGTGACCTTCGATGAATAATTTGAAAAAAATTATTATCATTGCTAAGATTACCATCATTTTGTTAAACTGAACAAATTCAAAGTTCACATAGGGTAAGATGAAAGGTTACAAATGAATTATCTTTTAGATAGTGTGACGAATTATTTTCGCATCATTAACTTTAATTTTTCACTACAAATATCAATATTTTCATGAAACGTTGTTCCTTTTCAATTTATGTATGCATTACATTTCTTAACCCGTTTTCATTTCTCCTTTCCTCCATTTCATTCATATCTTCCTTCCTATCCTTTAATCCTTCGAGCACTGATAACTTTTAGATAATTATTCTCAAATATCTATGCTATTGGTAAAATTGTAACTTCGCAACATCACTTCTAATTAATTACTTATAAATAATTCAAACGACAGTAGAACTTATTATATGATGAGAGAGAGAGAGAGAGAGGAGGAAAAAAAGAAGGCACAGGGAGTTCTTCTTAGTAGATGATTACTGAAATCGGTATCGATGATTATTGAATTAGACATATCATACAATTTCAAGCGAATGCTATGACACCGATAAAAGATTGATAATTTATTTTAAATATTTTATGACATCTATCAACAGTTTTTGTTCTCGTTAACCAGTTTTACTGTACTATTAAGATTTTTATCGAGTAATTTTCCACTTTTTCTTCCCTTGTTTTTTTCTTTTTTTTTTCAAATTATTTATTTTAAGATGATAAGAAGAGTATGTTTATATGGGGCATACTAGTGATAAAGGATTTGGATATCACTGCAATACTTAGTTCTATCCTGTCAAAGAAAATTTTTTGAGCTTCTTAAGCGAATAAAAAATGAATGATTACTCTTATCATTTGAATGTATTTCTCCGGAAGCTATTGGAAAAGGAAAACAGAGCATTTCACTGTTAATTCGAGTAATTTTGAAACAAAAAGAAGAAAAAACATAGAAGTTTTATTCCTGTCATTTAAATAGCGTTTTAATCGTTATTAACGAGACTTTATTTCGTCGCATCCTTCATCTTTTTAATATTTTTAATACCAACAATTTTCAACTTTTTTGAAAATCTTTTAAACTCTTTCAAGCTTTCCTATATCAATATTTTAAATTCATTATATGGTTTGTCCGTTTTATTTTCATGTTCACTTTACAAAGAGAAAAAGAAAATTAACAAGCCGAATTTAAGTAAGTAAAGTAGAAAGTAATGTCTAGGAAGAGAAGAAAATTACTGCGATGGATCGGTAAAAAACTGACACAAATTCGGTGACCGTACTAGAAGATTTCGTACGGAATCTTCTCAGCTGTTTACATAGGTTAGACTTTTATCACTCATCCTTCCGGAATATTTCGGGAATTAAGCATACCTGAATTCAAATCCTATCTTTCCTGAACATTTGAAGTCAAATGACAAATTGGCTAAACTATTCCCACAAAGGACTTTATGCGATGCAAACATGTTATTTGTGTGGTGTGTGTGTGTGTGTGTGTGTGTGTGTGTGTGTGTACATGTGAGTCTGTCTGTGTGTATGTGTGTGTGTGTCTGTGTCTGTGTCTGTGTTTGTGTATATGTGCTCAAACAACAATCAACTACAAAATTTATTTTTCTAATTTCATCACACCACTAATGAAATGAGAAGAGGTACCGGATCCATTCTCATGATATATATTGAATGACAGCAAATCAACACAAGCTTTTTGATATCAACATGTAACGATTAAATGAAGGATAAATTAACTTGGGAAAGTGATAATGCAAACCAGTTCAAGTTTAAATTTTAACAAAATTAAAAGTTGTTACGGAAACAGTACTGATAATTATCGACGAGTAGCTTGAAAGTATTCTCATGTTGATGAAGTTCATTTTAGATCACGAAAAAAGATTTTCAATCGTTGATTTTCGCTCAGAAAACTCCACACTCAACAACATCTGTTTTACAGTATATATTATTATTATTATAAATGCACCGTTGTTATTTGATCATTCATGTGCTTTCGTAACTCTTCCGGGCATTACCTCACCCATTTTTTCTCCAAACTTATTTTTCCATTTTTGTTTGTACCGTTGCTATCCATGCTTTGTCATTCATTGTCCTCATCATTTTATCCTTTTTTTAAAATGTCATCCTCATTCTTATTCCCGAGATTATTTAACTGTACGTGACAATGATAAAATGGAATGACTTGACGGATGCTAAGGGAATTTTATGGTGTTTAAGACCTTTTTTGGTAGAGATTTATAATCATCTTCCATCGTGTCGCTACATTGGTGATACACTGTATTGACCTTCAATGATTCCGGTCTCAGCGATATTCTTCTTCTACTTTCTTTGCAATGATCTAAATATTTTTAATAGATCAATTTTTCAATGATCTAAATACTTTTAACAGATCATTTAATTACTCCTTGACAAAATTTAAATTTAAGATTTTCAATGATTCACGTAATATTTAATATTGTAATATTTTTCAACGACATTTCGTAAAGTATCATGATATGTTTGGTCCTTTCTTTCTGCTTCCTGACTACTTTCTATTTTTGCATGCTTGAAGAATACTTTTAGAAGTATGAAAGTTCTGGTGGGCTGAAATTGAAGAAAATCATTTCGTAATAAACATAAAACGGGTTAAATTCAAAATAGTATCTTTAATTCTTTTATAGTTCGAAAAGTAGAAATGTGCTAAATAAATAATTTGAATTTATGCTCTTTTAAATTAATATAATAGCAATAAAAGCCAAAAAAGAGAAAAGAAAAAAGGAAACGAAAGCAAAAAGTAGATTATGAAAAGAAAACAAAATAAAAGAAAAAAAAATCTGTTATGAAAAGCCTAAATTAATATGTCCTAAATGAAAAGCATATATAAGATATTACGGCAATAGCTAAATTATTGAAAAGAGGAATGATGACAAGGATAAGTAAAAAGTGAAAAATGTGTTAAGTAAATAATTTTGGTTTGAATTTATCCTTCTATAATATAATGGAGTAGCATTAAGAGCCAAAAAGAGAGAGGAGAAGAGAGAGAGAGAGAGAGAGAGAGAGAGAGAGAGAGAGAGAGAGAGAGAGAGAAGAAGAA